AAGGACCGAGTCAGGTGGCGGCAGGGACGACTGCGGCTGTGGGTAGAAAAACAGTCGGCGCAGGTCAATACCAGCAGCACCAGCAGTACCAGCACCTGCAGCTCCAGTAGCACCTCCAGCACCTCTAGCACCAGCAGCACCATGAGCTCTGGCAGCGCTAGCACCTGTAGCACCAGCAGTACCTCCAACACCTCCAGTGCCAGCAGCTCCAGTATCATCTCCAGCACCAGCAGCACCACCTGATCCGGCAGCGCCAGCACCTCTAGCACCAGCAGTACCTCCAACACCTCCAGTGCCAGCAGCTCCAGTAGCACCTCTAGCACCTCCAGCACTAGCAGCACCACCTGCTCCGGCAGCTCCAGCACCCCTAGTACCTTCAGCTCCAATGCCTCCAGCACCAGTAGCACCTCCAGCGCCTCCAGTACCAGTAGCACCTCCAGCACTAGTAGTACCTCTAGGACTAGCACCTCCAGCACCTCCACCACCAGCAGCACCTCCTGCACGAGCAGCTCTAGCATCTCCAGCAGTACCTCTAGAACCTCCAGCACCAGCAGCACCTCCAGCACTAGCAGCTCCAGCACCTCCAGCACCAGCAGTACCTCTAGCACTAGCAGCTCTAGCACCTCCAGCACCAGCAGCTCCAGCACCTCCAGCAGTACCCCCAGTACCTCCAGCACCAGCAGCACCTCCCACACGAGCAGCTCCAGCACCTCCAGCACCAGCAGTACCTCCAGGACTAGTAGCTCTAGCACCAGGAGCTCGGAGTACCTCCAACACCAGCAGGACGGAGCCCTCCACTACCAGGACTGCCACGCCGAGCCTTCGACGCACGAATCTGCTGTGGCGAAAGCGTCTCAAGTAGATCAGGTTGCGGTGGCTGTCCAGCTCCAGGACCTCCAGCAGGGTCACCCACAGCTCCACCGCCACTAGGACTCGCAGCACCCCTAGAGTCAGCAAGCCCAGTCGCAGCACCCCCAGAACCAGCACCCCCAGTCGCAACACCCCCAAAACCCTCACCCTCTGTCTCAGCACCCCCAGGCTCAACACCAGCAGTCTCAGCTCCAGAGTCCATAGCAGCAGGCTACTGAGGCAGCAAAGTCGGCTGAACTGGAAAGCCCGGGGGGGTCTCCAAGCGTGGAGAGTGGCGACGGGCCACCGTGTCGTCAGCGGCGGGATCACCCCTCTCAGCTGGGCCAGAGGAGTCAGAAGAGATCTCCACAGGCTCATCCAAGGGGGGTGGGTCTACCTAAGACACACCTGAGGAAGCAGGACCCTGCGGGGGGGAGTGGGTCTCCCAGGGGGGGACTGGTACCAGGAAGAGAGGCGTGAGGGGGACTAGGTGGGACGCGTGCGGGTGTAGCCTGTAGTAACAGACAGACTTGTCAAAGGTGACATTCTAGGAGGAGAAGAATCGACGCGATCGCGGGTGGTAGAACTGCCACGGCGGGGCGTCGGTGGGGAAGCCAAGGAAGACGCAGCGGAGAGTGCGAGGGGAGAGCTTGCTCGCGGTGGTATCGCAAACAAGGGAGAGCACACCCCAGACCCAAAACACCAACGCATCACCAACCTCTCCCGTCCAACGGAGGTGGGTGTGGTCCCTGGCAAAATGAAACGGGGCCAGAGGTTGAGCTAATGCAGCGTATCGGACCGCAAACGGCCACAGAAAATGGGGAGCAGCCGCATGGATCATGGAGGTACGAGCAACCTCCATGATCAAGCCAATGCAACGCTCAACAATCCTATTTTGTTGAGGAGAGGCCGGAAGCGTGAAGGACAGGCGGATGCTCTCGTCTCGACAGAATTCCGCAAGGAGGTCAGAAGAGAACTCACCGCCCCTGTCACAGTGCAGACGCAGGACTAGGAAGTCTTGACGAAACCGCTCGCGTAGGCGACGAGTAGCACGGATCTAGAGGATCAAGACACCACTAACATCCGCCTTGCACCGCAAGGGGAAGACTGTGGTGTAGCATGTGTAGTCGTCAACAACCAGCATGAAGTAGCGCTCCTGGTCCGTTGCACCGACGGGGGCCGGGCCCCAAACGTCCATGTGGAGAGTCTGCAGAGGAGCAGTGATCGAAGGAAACTCGGAGGAGTGAGGAGCGGCGCGCTGCCGCCCCTCAACGCAGGGAAGGCACGTCGGGGCAGGCGAGCGTGGGAGGGAGGGCAAGGACATGGGAAGGCCAGAGACAAGGAGACGGGAGTGCATGCTGCGGAGACGCGGTAGCGAGAAGAGACCTAGGTGGTGGTGCCACAGGAGAGTCTGGTGTGAAAGTACCCGACACGACGCAGCCACCTGACCTGACTCAGCCACCTATGCAGACGCAGTGGTCAGTGTGTAGAGGCTGGACCCAGGCTCACGAGTGAACGTAGTAAGGTGTCGGCCAATCCGTGAGCTCTTACAGATTGCCACACGCTGTCCTCCTGGAATGAAGGTGTCAACCCATTTATCCTGCAGAACTGCGTTACTCAACAAGTTCGTCGAGAACGCGGGGAGGTGGAGACCTGAGAGAGACCTGGAGGGGACTGCGAGACACGGGAGGACAGTAGAGGCTCGCGCAACTACTGGGCCCCCAGTGGGGTTAGCCAGTGAGAATGGGACAGGTGCTGCGCGTTGTGTGACTGTTGTGCAATCACGAAAGAAGCAACGTGATGCGCTTGAGTCAGATGTGAAATTGTGCAAGGCCTCAATTGAGGCAGGACCTGTGGCAGTAGACGCACTAGCATCTAGAGAGTCGGCAGACTCAGGAGCACCTAGAGCTGCAGCAGACTCGAAATCACATGGAACGGCAGCCTCTACACATTCAGGGACGCACCGCCGAGAAGCACAGGTGCCGCTGCAGGGAGAAGGTGCTCTGCGGACGCTGCTGTTGCCGCTGTGCAGTACCCATAAAACCTAAACCTCCACCACCAGGACTGTTTCGCTGAATAAACCACTCACGAAGCTGCTGAGGGGTGGGGTCATCCGGGAGAGGAAATGACCGCTGCTGTCCACCCCTAGCCGCTGCAACTACTGTGATAGTGGCCATGACAGGCAGTAACGGTCAGTAGCAGGTCCAGCACCTCCAGCACTCCCAACAGCACCTCCACCAGTAGTAGCAGTAGCACGAGTAGCAACACCAGCACATTAGTAGCAGAAGTGCAGCTCGGTGGGGCTGGTGAATGAGGTAGAGCGGCGCAGCTCGGGTTGGGCAGGGCGGCTCGGGCTGGGCAGCGCAGTTCGGCCTGGGCAGCGCGGCTCGCAGCTGGGCGACGCGGCTGGGCAAAGCAGGGCATGCCGCGGGCTGCAGGGCAGGACGCGCGCTGGGCAGAGCAGCACGGCACGACGCACGGGCTGCAGCAGGGCGTGATGCGCGGGCTGCAGTAGGGCGCGATGCACGAGGCAGCAGGGCGCGACGCGCAAGGCAGCAGGGCACGACGCGCAAGGCAGCAGGGCGCGCGGAGCAAAGGCTGCTCGCGGGCAGCAGTGGCGCGCGGGGCAGGGGCTGCTCGTGGGCAGCAGGGGCACGCAGGGCAGGGGCTGCTCGCGGGCAGCAGGGGCACGCAGGGCAGGGGCTGCTCGCAGCCCGCAGTGGCGCGCGGGGCAGGGGCTACTCACGGGCAGTAGGGCGCGCAAGGCAAGGGCCGCTCGTTGGCAGTAGGGGCGCGCGGGGCAAGGGCCGCTCGCGGGCAGTAGGGGCGCGCGGGGCAAGGGCCGCTCGCGGGCAGTAGGGGCGTACGGGGCAGTAGCCGCTCGCGGGCAGGAGGGGCGCGCATGAAAGCTGGACAGCGTGCTAGGGTAGGCAGTGCGAGTAGCTGCAGGGCAGCGCGTCACTAAGCGAGCAGGGCCGGACAGCGCAAGGGCACTGCGGGCAGGAGAGAGAGGCACTATCGGTGGGCCCTTAAAACCTAACAGGTTCCTGCTCTGAATACCATGTCAGAATAACTGTGCAGGAATGATTGGATTAGCAAGAGTTGGGGTTCAAATACTAACCCTAGAAGTGTTCCATTATGTACGCCAACACTACAGTGAAAAATGAAGAGAGGGCCACTCGTACTCCTACACCAGCTGCGACATTCCAAATTCCTAGTGTGGGGGGGAGGAGAAGAGATAGCGCTTAGAAAAGATTTCGTATGTGTGGAGAAGCAAGTCGAACTAGAGGAGGAGAGGTACGATCCAAACCAGGCCTTGATGCTCGCCTTCAATAAGTGCAACGGAGGTATGGGCCTTTTTACGTATGATACCAACTTGATTCTAGCAGTTATGCATGATCGCCTTTTCGTAAAGCCTTCTTTCAAGAACAAAGCTGCCATGGAGAAATACGAGAAGCAGAAGTTGGCTGAGATGAACGGGATACAAGAGTGGGAGGCTATAGATGTCAGTTTGGGGACTGATGATAGTGCGACTCTGTATGTTACTTCTCTAGCGAGGGCTGTGGAATCTATGTTTTCCGACCGCAAAAATCATTTGGCTTTTGTTCACAGGCCTCAAGCGCTTTACACTCGGGATGGTCAGCACATTTATGAAGGGCCAGAAACGGGAAACAACTGGATTGAATGGCAATCCAAGGTTCCAAGAGGAGCGCTAGCAGTACCAGTGATAATCTATAGTGATACAACCAACTTTAGAAATGATGGACGAGTAGTTGGGTATCCCGTATACAGCACCATTGTCAGTATTTAAGTGAAGAAGAGATGGCCGCCGCACGGGCACCGGATGGTAGCTATGCTCCCCCATCTCACCCGCGTGGATGCCAAAACAGAGGCTAGAAAAAAATTTCGGTGATGTGTTTCACAAGGCAATGGAGCATGTTCTTGAAGACCTCAAGAAAGCCTCTCATGAGTAAGCTTCACCATGTTCTAAACCTCTGTCTGCAATTTCTTTAAGCATATTACCATCACCCCAAGTTCTTTCAGTTTTAGCCCATCTCACTCACTCATTACCCCATCTTCCCCCCTCATTAGAACGTTCCCGCCATTATAAGTCAAATCCCCTCACCCATCACCGCATCGTCCTTATGCATATGCACATATCTCTCACTTATAAGCTCGCGTCTAGCACTCGTGCACCCACTTCACTCCATCATCACCCCATCTCCCTCGATCATCACCCCATCTCTCTCGCTCATCACCCCATCTCCTTCACTCACCAGCCCATCTCCCTCGCTCATCACCCCATTTCCCTCACTCATCAGCCCATCTCCCTCACTCATCACTTCATTTCCCTCACTCAACAGCCCACCTCCTTCACTCATCACCCCATCTCCCTCACTCATCACCCCATCTCCCTCGCTCATCACCCCATCTCGCTCGTAACCATCGTGCTTGCCGGTATAGTGGATCAGAAGATTGTCGATGCAATCGCGGCATTTGTGGACTGCTGACATGCAGAAGATGGTATCACACCGACGGCACGTTGTCCAAACTCGACGATGCCATCAAAAAGTATGGACACATTTTCAAAGCCCCTCTTAATTTTCCTGCCCCTATTTGTCCATCCTTGTTTCACCCTTATCCTTTCTTGATTACGACCCACTTCTCCATGTTTTTCTCACTCTCCTTTTCCACCACCCTCTCTATGCTTCTCACATCCGGTTCGTCCCTACTACACTCTCTATCACCCTCACAATCCATCCATGGTTCGCCCTCTCTCCTCTCTCCACACCCCCTCTTTACCCCTCGCTAATCTCCCACTACTCTCTCTATGTTTCCCCCACTCATACCGTCCATCCGACTTTCTCAAACCCTACCTCTCCATCCCTCTCTGTTGCTCCCTCCTCCACCCTCTCATACCATCCCTGATTTGCCCTCCTTTTTTAATTCACTCCCTCCTTGTCTATCTCTCCACGACTACCTCCTGGCAGGTCCCCGTCCTCCCTGGAAAAGTTTCCCTGCATAGCCAATGGGCTCCCTCCTCACTTGCTATTCTTCCCTGCAGCTCCCTCCCTTGCTTGCTATTCCTCCCTGCAGCTCCCTCCCTCGCTTGCTATTCCTTCCTGCAGCTCCCTCCCTCGCTTGCTATTCCTCCCTGCAGCTCCCTCCCTCACTTGCTATTCCTCCCTGCAGCTCCCTCTCTTACTTGCTATTCTTCCCTGCAGCTCCCTCCCTCGCTTGCTATTCTTCCTCCTTGCAGCTCCATTTCTCACTTGCTATTCCTCCCTGCAGCTCCTTCCCTCACTTGCTATTCCTCCCTGCAGCTCCCTCCCTCAATTTCTATTCCTCCCTGCAGCTTCCTCCACACTTGCTATTCATTCCCCCTTGCAGCTCCCTCCCTCACTTGCTATTCTTCCCTGCAGCTCCCTCCCTCACTTGCTATTCATTCCTCCCTGTAGCTCCCTCCCCCGCTTGCTATTCCTCCCTGCAGCTCCCTCCCTCACTTGCTATTCATTCCTCCCTGCAGCTCCCTCCCTCACTTGCTATTCCTCCCTGCAGCTCCCTCCCTCGCTTGCTATCCCTCCTTGCAGCTCCCTCCCTCGCTTGCTATTCCTCCCTGCAGCTCTCTCCCTCACTTGCTATTCATTCCTCCCTGCAGCTCCCTCCCTCACTTGCTATTCCTCCTTGCAGCTCCCTCCCTCGCTTGCTATTCCTCCCTGCACCTCCCTCCCTTACTTGCTATTCCTCCCTGCAGCTCCCTCCCTCACTTGCTATTCATTCCTCCCTGCAGCTCCCTCCCTCACTTGCTATTCATCCCTCCCTCCCTCCCTCCATCCCCCTTCACACTGCTGCCCTGTTTCGCCCTCTATCCTGAATCTGTTTGTTGTTTGCACACAGGCTAATCCCACTCTTGACGGAGGTGTTTGGTGATGCTCAAGCCTCGAATTTCAATATCACCAAAGGCAGAGGATGGTCGCCCTGCAGCAGGTGGGTGCAAAATATTGGAAAATCTACCACATATGCTCAACCATGTTCGATATCCTTCTATAATGATGTTCATGAGCTCATGATACCCTCCTTGTCTTTGCAGGCAATTGATACAGGAAAGAACACGCTTGCAAGCATGTCTTTCAAGGTAGATTGGAAAGAAGCCAATCCATAGTGTTCCGAACGGGCTGCACACATCCAAGAGCTCCAGGTGACATGTCTAAGTCGCAGCATATTTTGGAGACCATGGAGAGTGATGGCGAGGTTCTTAGTACTCAGCTGCACATAAAGAAAAGGGTGGTGATTGTGCGGGACGAAGATTTCACCAAATACTCAAGTCAATCTCTCTATGTGCGCGCGTGTTCTTCCTTCGGGGGCAGGCCGGTTTAATGATGTAGCGGTCCTGAGTGAGGAGGACGTCACCCGCACTGGTGAGCGGTCCACGAAAAGGGTCATTTGGCATGCTAGATTGCTGTTGTTATTTGTTCTCAACGTGTTCGTTCTACATACAAGAGAGGTGGAACAAAAGGAGTTGGCTTGTGTGCGCTTCTACAAGGCCACCGGTGAGACTCACATATCTCATCGCCCGATCATGATATGGGAGGATGCTGAGAATGAGTATCAAGTACTGGACATTGACAATATCCTTCGAGTCGTGCATATAGTTCCAGTGGGTGACGATGTTTTTGTTCATAATGTAATCATGTTCTATTAAAATGAGTGCAACAACCACCTCAATCCTACGTACAGGGCCCATGTAAGATGAGAATGCGCTACGTTGATATGGTATTAATGAGGATTCTTTTACCGTGATCCCCTAGATATGCCACATTTGGTTTGGCTTAAGACTGATTTGGAAAAAAATGACATTATGTTGCTAAGAGGAACGTATATATATAACACGGGTTTCTTGTTAAGAGTCGTGAGAGATAATTGGAAACAGATGATGGCCTGCACCTTCATATGTCAAGAAAAATCCACGAATAATACAAGGCCGAATTAATGGACTGTGTTTATCGGCGATGCCGGCAAGGGAGTCTACGACACAGGGGGGGCCCGGCGATGACTCGTCGACAAGACCGTCCTCTGAAGCAAGGGGTGGTTTTCGAGGAGGCCGTCATCTAGTCGGCTAGCCAATTGACGAGCTCTGGTCAACGGGGTGTCGTTTGGCGAGCTCGTCCTTTGATCGGCTAGTGAGTAGCGCGAGCTCTGACGGAAGGGGTGCTTTTTGACAGGCCATGTTCTCTGACTAAGGGGCGCTGTTCGGCGAGCCTCGTCTCGGCAAACTATTCGATCAGATTCGCTTGACTTCGAAACCCGGCGAATGTGTGCGAATTTTGCTCTGGATGTTTTAGCGAAAATCAATATGCAAAACAGCTTTACGTGCTTGACGGTGGACACCTGGTGAAACCGGCGACACGTTTTCTACTAGGCACCTACGCAATGTGCCTGACGGTATCATTGTCTACCTGCAACTACTTGGTAGGTGCGCACCTATGCGCAGTTATTCACCAGCGACTGCAATGCTGGCGGGCCGCGCTTCTGTAGCGTTGGCGTGTCGCCCTTCTGCTACGCTAGCAGGCTATCCTTCTGCTACGCTAGCAGGCGATCCTTCTGCAGCGTTGGCAAACCGATCTGATGCTGCACTGGAAATTCGCCTTGCGGAATGCTTGCTAGGTGTTGCAATGCCCTCCTCACACATATCGACTAGCATGCCTCATTTTCGTACTTCTTTTCTGGCGTAGTCCATCTGGCACGTAAAATTGACCTGCATGACATAGCACATATGGCACACCGGTCGGCACGTGGACGACCTGGCACCTGCGCAATGTGCGTGACGATGCACAACGGTGCAACTGTCTACCTGCACCTACTTGGTAGGTGCGTAGATGTGCGCTCATTCTCACATGAGTGTGCAAAACTGGCAAGCCGCCTTACTGCAGCATCAGCAAGATGCCTTGGTGCAAAGATGGAAGGCCTTCGTCTTGCTGCGTTGGCCACGTTCGTTCAGAGCACTATATTGGAGGTTTTGTACTTGCATGTGTGTGCCAAAGCTTGAGCTAGGTACTTGTGCACATGTGTTATGCTTGTCGTAAGAATTGGCTCGAGTTTCTATTGCCTACGTTGGAAGAATGATGAATACAACGGCAAAACAAATCAACAACGGTTCGGCGAAGCTGGATGGCAGCTTGACAATGATGCAGCTGAGCACTTTGTGACCATCGTACAAAGTCGGTTTGCCGACTCTACAGCACGTCAGCCTGCCAGCGTTGCAGCAGCATGTGACCATGTGCTAACATGTGCGCCCTAACCATAGTTTTGCGATAAAATTGAGGAGAGTTTTGAGAAGAGCAATAATAGAGGTCTTCCAGTCGATTTAGAAAAGAGGACATTGCAACACAGAACATGCAAGCTATGAGGCGAACTGGAAGCGCAGGATTAGAGCAGCCTGCCAACAGTGCAGAAGTGCGGCTTGCAAGCGCTGCATTCGCAGGTAAATATCTGCGCACATGTGCGCACATACAAAGTTGGTCCAGGTCGACGGTTGTATCGTCAGACACATTGTGCATGCGCTAGGCAGACAGCTCATTGTCGGTTTCGCCAGGTCTCTGTGGTCGAATACGTGATGCCGTTCTAGAGGTCGAATTTTGCCAAAACCACATGGGCGAGAATCACACTCCCGCAAAAGTTTTGAAATCGAGCGAATTCGGTCGATCAGTTTGCTGAGACGGGGCCTGACAAACAGCGCCCTTCGATAAGAGGATTACTCGTCGAATAACATTAAATTTATCAGAGTCTGCCGACGGACAATCCGATTAGAGGACGAACTTGTCGAACGACACACCATCGTTGCAGCAGAGTAATTCTGCCATCGTTGCACTGCAGCGGTCTGCCAGCGCCACAGAGGCAGGTGAACATCTGCGCATGTGCACACCTACCAAGTAGGAGCATAGACGGTCGCGTCACCATGCACATTGCGCGGGTGCCAGGTAAAACATGTGTCGACAGTTTCGCCAACGGTGCACCACTGAGCACATGAAGCCATTCCGCAAGTTGACTTCGCGAAAACCTCCTGATGCGAAATTCACGCATATCTGCGATTATCGCAATCAAGCAGCTTCGGTCAGCTGGTTCGACGGTACTCCGTTGAACAGCGTTTAGCTGGTTCGCGCAGAGCTCGTTTACGGACTCGTCGCGTAGAGCCTCTCGACGAACTCGCAAAGAGCCTCTAGACGGACTTGGTCGACTCTCGATAGACTCGTCGACGACCGCTGTTGTCGACCAGCGACTTCCGTAGAAGGTGACGACCGAACCTCATAAATCAGAGCCCGTTGATCAGACAACTCAACTTATGCAAAGCGATCGAAGTCGACTTCTGCGAACAGGTCGACGTCGAACTCTGCGGACAGGTCGACGTCAAACTTTGCGGACAGGTCGACGTCGGGCATGTCAACGTCGACTTCTGCGCGCAGTCTACGCCGACTTCTGCGCGCATTCTGTATCAACTTTCCAAACAAAAAACTTCAATGGTTAGTTCTATGATTATGTAGTTTACTGCATATAAACCTCCCTAATCATTATGCGAGGCTATTCATCCATTCTCGCGCATCCGCATAATATTTTTACTTTGTTCATCAAAATACGGGAAAATATATATGTTGATGGTCTTCGAAATTATAAACATCCATGTAATTCAAAATAATATATTTCTCTACCTTCAGCATCGTCTAAGTACATCACTATGAGGTAAAAATATAAAAGATCTCCTATGAACACTAGAGCCTAAATCTGGCATATCTTTTTGTGTATATTTTGTATGTTACAGCTTTGATTTTAGAGAATTTCACTACCCCATTTTCTGGCACTTCCTTGCTGTGATGGTGGTTTACTGTTCAGCATTGCGCCCTCATACGGATTAGTTGGCATTTGCCACTGGACCATTCATTCGATCAGCGTGAGCGCGCAAGTTGTATGATTGGTCTGCCATGGCGTGATTTCTGTTCAGCGCATCAGCACGAAGCGCCGGAATCACTGAACGTGAATGGCAGGTGGTGAGGCGTGGTGCAGATTCAAGCTCGAGGTGGGCTTTTGGTATCATGCGTTTACAGGTTTGTCTGAGGCGAGGTGAGTCGTGGCGCATATTCAGGCTCGAAGGTGAAGTTAGGCATCGCGCTTTTGCAGTTGGTCTAGCGGTGCATGTATCTCTCTCTCCCCTCCCCTCACCCTTGTCAACGGGAGTAGTGTTTGGCCCCGTCCTCGCTTGGGCGGAGCCGGCCATGGGAACCGCGAGGACCGCGGGAGGGCCGCGGGACCGCGGAAGGCCACGGGATCTCGGGAGGGCCGCGGGACCGCGGGAGGGCCACGGGGCCGCGGGAGGGCCAAGGAACCGCGGGGACCGCGGGACCGCGGAAGGCCACGGGACCGCGGGAGGGCCGCGGGACCGCGGGAGGGCCGCGGAACCGCGGGGACCGCGGGACCGCGGGACCGCGGAAGGCCACGGGACCGCGGGAGGGTCGCGGGAGGGTCGCGGGACCAGAGGCCGCTGGACCGCGGGGACCGCGGGAGGGCCGCGGGACCGCGGGACCGCGGGGGCTGCGGGACCGTGGGGGTCATGGGGGCCACGGACGCTGACCGCGGGGGCCGCTGGACCGCGGGGGTCGTCACCACCGACTTGGTGGTGTTGTCTTGGTTTCCTGGTCGACCAGGATACCGAGGCAACGTGTGCGAAGGTCGCCAGGGTGGAGTCTGCGAGGCCGACATCGGCGGTGGTATCCCGGGGTCGACGTGGCTGGTGGGCGCAGTTGCTGGTGTGGAGTCAACCTGGGCGTTTGCGCTGTGCACGTGACAAGGAAGAGCACACCAACCAGCTGCGCGCACCTGCGAAGC